GATTAAAACTCTAACACAGAAAAGACCTGTCTATGCTGCCCCAAAACATCTCGTTGGAGATTTTTCTTTTTCCGTTGTTTTTTTCCTGGGTATAGTTACGTGCCCTTACCCAAATGGACCAATCTGTGGAGCTCCTCACTCACACACACACACACACACACACACACACACACACACACACACACACACACACACACACACACACACTCTGAGGGGTGCTAGTGGAGCCTCCCAGCGCGGCAAAACTGTGGAGCGCTTACACTCTAGGTGCTGCAGGACGCGGGAAGGGGGGGGCTTCAGGAGCTCCAACAGGCGTTGAGGACAGAGTGAAATTTAGTGAATACACATACTATACAGAGATGCTGTATGAGAAGCTAATGTGAGTTTGGAAAATTGCACAGTATAAATCTATTCTAGTAGACCTCAACAATGGAATTATGATCAGTAGAAATGGCCATGACATGGGACCTTTAATTAACCCAGGCTGAACTCTTGGCCATTCTTTAAAGTTTGTTACATTCCTTGTATATCAATTGAAGACAAGCTTTAATAAGATTCATTTCAATTTGATAGGACACTGTGTTTATACAATACGATGTACCCGGGCTAGATGACACAATCTTATTGGTTGATTGTCAGTTCTGTTCTATTGTTGGTGGATATGCAAGAAACGTCATACTAGTAAGTGGTCCAGCTACTCCATCTTTCAATTTCTAAAAATATAAAACAAACATTCCTTTGAATTGTGAATTGCTCCTATTCTATCATAACGGCAGTGGAAAACGTCGACCCACTTCCCTTTTGAAATTACAGGCCTTTTCTTTGAAACAGCAATACAAAACAGTACACATCCAAATGGCACCCGGAAGTGTTGTTCCTAAGAAAGGTACTTCAAAAATAGGGTTTTTTTTAAATATGAAAACTGCTTTTTACTATATAAAGAATTGTGTGCTGTTGACAAAAGACTGACCTTACAATATAGAAACTCTAATAAATACATAAAACAAAAATAAATACACAATAGTTAAGACAATGAGTGAAAACATTACAAAAGACTCAAACCCTTGTAGTGCTGTGAATGAAGACACACTTAACAAGTTTCTCAGATTATTGTGACACTATGTAATGTATATTATGTACATATGTCTACAGTACAATATCTGTCTCCACCAAACTGGTGCTGATCCCCAGAGATCTGTATCACCATTCAGTGTTTTCCTAAAATATACTAACTGTGAGAGATAATGTAAGTGAGACTTCAACATGACAGTCACTCTGTGCAAAAAAAAAAAAAAAAGGCTACTATAATAAATATAGCTTAGTGCTGACTGTTATTTTCTCTAGTGACAGCCATGAAATAACGTGATGACAGGAAGACAAGTCTCACAAAGTTTCCCTAAAATGAGCGTGACCTCTGGAACAAGGATCATAACAGTTAGCTTAAGATACTTTATCAATTTGTTTAATGTTTTATTCGGTCTTACTTTCACAGATTTAGTAATAATTTGTAACTGTTATGACACGTACTCACTAAAGTTTTCGCTAAGATCTGGGTACAGAATCCGGCTGGGCCAGAAATGTGCTGTGGGATGATCGGAGGGATGTAAACAAGCTTAGCCAGACAATCCAAACTCATTCCTTTACATGGAGTTTTGTTAGCCTCACGGTTAGCTACAACACAGACTGCTAACCACACCAACTTAATGTGGCAAAGGAACCTTTAGCCTGGAGGACCCCTAAGTGTTGGACTTGTAGAGGTTAATTCACCATCCGTTACTAAAAAAAAAAAGTGTACCTCGCTGCTTTGACCCCTGTATGATGCCCGGTTTCATAGTGTTATTATGTTAAAATTGTAACTATAGTACATATTGATCTTAAAATTTGACATTTTTATTTAATTAAGCAATTGTTGGTTTCTTGATCTAGTGTTTGTATAAAATTGTTATTTTTAACATTATTTAGGTAGAGGCTTTAAATAAGCCCACTTTTTTTTTTGCCTCTTCCTGCACTGTTGGTCTGTTGTTTTCTAGGATGTTTGTGTTTTATTAAATTATGCAAAACCATTAAAACCTTAAAACCTTAGTACTTAGTATCTCAGTATCTACAGACATTTATTGTTCAAAGAGCACTAATTCTAATGAGTTTGGTGATCCGCTTCCTGAAGCAATACTTTAGCTAATGACTAGAGGCTCGGAAACGAATGACTTTCCCATCGTAATTAGCTTTAGTGCTAATCAGCTGTTTATTAGCTGTTAATAAGGAAACATTAAACATTACAGCAACACTATGCACTAAACGTCAGCATGAAAGCATTGTGCTTCTGCTAGCATGCTTGTGTTAGCATTCAACTCAAAGCTTGGCTGTTCCTGGCTCTTAGTCTTATTGTAAGGTTTAGTGAGTACAACCTTATCATCACAAATAGGAAGGGTGGGCAAACCTATGAAAGGAAGATCAAAGTTGTATGTAACTGGAATTATTCTTAATTTAGAAAAACTCTTGGTAAAAGTTGGCAACTGAACCTTTTTTCACACAAAGACTCATATTTGTCCGTTTAGATATCATGCAAATGTCATGAAATGTTGTGAGACCAGGTTGGACATGGAAAACAATGGACATTATTTTGTTGGTTTGAAGTCAAACTCGTGTTAGGATCACATGAAGCCGTTACCCAGCCCCTTCTCACACTCCTCGGCCAAACACTTCCAACGCTGCCTGTTCTTCTGACATCCTTCCAACAACGGGGAGCAGTACTCCGACATGCCAGACAAGGTCTGTGACGGAGACAAAGAGATGTTATTTACCTTTGGAAAATTAAATGGGCATTGTACTAAAATACAGAATTCATTCATCTTTCTAGCAAGTGGCAAATTTAAAGGACGAATGCCATTGGCAATGTCAAAATAACTTTTCCAGCATTCATTCATTTCAATCGACACGATCTGTGGTCACTGCAGGAGAAATGGATGATATACCTCATATAACTGAGTGCAGATGGCATCAATGAAGGACACCTGCATGCTGGGAATCTTATCTCTTTTCTCCCGATTCATCAGGTCCTAAAGTGAAAGGTTCCGAAAATAAATACTCGTAAAGCAAAATACAAAGATGGCAGAAATGTATCCAAATCACATCATATTTCTTGCTCAGTATATGGAGTTTCAGACAACAACAAGAACCACATTTCTGAACCATTAGCAGGACAGTGATCTGTAACATGCAACTATTTGTCAGGTGACACAAAAACGTCAGCTGAGCATCACCAGTTTAGCCCTTTAAATAAGATGCTGCGTGTTTTGGTGATAAACTGGAACACAGTAGCCTACATACAACAATGAAAACTGCATTGAAAAAGATCCCAGTGGCATACCACAGCTTTTGTTCTACTTCTTTTAAAGGTTTGTAGAACCCTGATGTGACACTGCACTTACGATGGGTTCAACGTTCAGCTCCCGCCTCTCCTTATCCCCCTGCTCGAAGAACTCAGTGGCTACCAGCTCGGCAACCTGTATCAGAGTTCAAATGAAATCTTAAAAACAACATGTTGATTCTAAAATTTAGTGGACAAAAAAAAAACATATCAAGGAGTTATTTCTTTACACTGTTATCAATGTTAACACTTTTAGTTCCAAAAGTATTCTAAAACAAACATATATTCAAATGTGATGAAAGGCAAAGAAGCAAACATGTATCACAAGTAAAACACAATTTCCTCTGTCAAGATCCCTCGTGTTATATCACACTGCTGCTATGCTGTTGTATTTAACCCTGGAATCCTGGCATATTTGTGGCACTTTGAATTTTAGTGGAGGTACTTTCATGAGGTTGATTTTGGAAACTAAGTTGGGATATTGTATCGTGGATACAAACTTGTCAAACAGCCTGAGTTAAATCCACTGAAAAAGAACCAGTTCGACCAAGACTCTATAAAGAAGGCAAGGAAGACCACACGCAACGACTTGAAGAAACAAGTACACTAAGAGACCAAGGGATCTGCCAAAAGAGTGCTAGTCACTGAGTTAATAGTCTCCGTGTGATTACAGAGCTAAATGAAATATGACTGCAGCCCCAGGCTCCAGTCTCTCAGTATGTGTGGAAGCCATCGGCAGCTCACTGATAATAACAGCTGACAGAGAGACAGCTTATTACAGCGACTCAAAACCAAAACTAGTCGGGCTCAATAACTTAGTCTTTATTTACTTTACCTATGTCAGTCAAAACAAAAGTATTTTTTGTCTGCATAGCTGAGCAAGTTAGCTCCACGCCAGCATAACTTCAGTGCTCAGGGGCAACAGCAAGAAAAAAGCCACGACTTGATCTATGAAAGCATTTCCAACTGTTAATTGTGGGATGCTTGCACACTTTGGCCATATGTTCATAAACAGTTTGGTCAGGCAAGTAAATCCAAGTCTGTGAGGGGAGATCATATCATGTGAAACACATTATACAGTAGTTACATGACTTCAGCTAAGGAGCTTCTCATTAGCCTCTGCAAGGGTCTATGGATAGAGGGGGTCTTATGCTGTACAGATTGTAAAGCCCCCTGAGGCACATTGGCACTTTGTGATATTGGGCTAAATTAAAGATTGATTGCTTTTCTGTTTTGGAGTGGGATAATAGCCTGAGTTCAACACAGGCTATACTCCTACATACCAGCATGAAAAAAAGTGAATATGAAACGTACTATAATTAATATTCATGAATGATTTCAGATAAACCTCAAACTAAGAGAATAAATAATCCACTGATCAAAGCGTTTATTTGTAAGCACAAAGCTTCTAACTGTATCCATGTATCCACACCTCGCTCTCTGTAACGTGTCCCCACACCGTCACATGAAGGATACATTCACCCTGTCATATTGTTTATTTAAAGCTGCACTCACCAATGTTTTAATATCATAATTTGATCCACTGACTTATTTGTACTCACAGAGAATTAAAACACACAAACATGAACACATGGACACTGGACAGAACCATGTATATTTTGGTGGCAGTTCACTTCTGTGGTAAGCTACTGAATCCACTAAGCTTTAAAAAGGTTTAAACCATACCACAGGTTTAAAGGAATGACAACTAAAATGAAACTCCAATGCTCATCTAAAGCCAAAATGTACCCATGCGGAGGAGAAAGAAGAAACACTCAGTGTATCTGGTCTGGCATCAGAGTGCATGTTTGAGTTAGAGAAAGTATTTGCATGTTTACTTTCCAAATTAATTTTGAGAAGTTATCTGAGGAGAGGGCCACATCTGTTTTTATTAAAGAGCACTGACTTGTCAACACAAACAACCTCACACACACACACACACACACACACACACACACACACACACACACACACACACACACACACACACACACACACACACACACACACACACACACACACACACACACACACACACACACACACACACACACACACAAACACACACACATGTTTGGAGAGTTTTAAGCATGTTAGTGGACACATTATTGTCATGTCACTTCCATTTGCAGTGCTTTAAGACTCTTTGAAACCTCATGCAGCATGGCTTTGCACTACAGTATGTGTGTGTGTGTTTTGCATTAGGTGAGTGTGGCTGAATGTGTCCAGCAGCAGTGGGGTTAGGTGGTGCTGTGGAGTTGGGAGTGTATTTAGAGTTTCTTTTGAGGCCATAAAGATCAGAGGAGGCTGTAAGTCACTATATTTAAGCGGGCCATCAGAGTGTGCTAGGGTAGGCTAGCAGCTGGAAAATGAGCAGAATAGCCATAATAAATCACACAGAGTGATCCAGGATACTGCAGCAACATTAGGCCTGAGAACATCCAGTACTATGCCATTAGAAAAACTCAGGTTGAAAAAAGCTCCAAGGCAATCTCTTTTTAAACAATTAAAAAGCCTTTATTATGATGGCATAATCATGCTAGACCTAAAAAAAGGGAATTTCTGCATCCACATGTTTCCTTATCCAAAGAGCACCTCAAGCACTACTATCCAAATACACTGAACAAAAATATAAACGCAACACTTTTGTTTTTGCTCCCATTTTTCATGAGATGAACTCAAAGATCTAAAACATTTTCTACATACACAAAATAACCATTTCTCTCAAATATTGTTCACAAATCTGAAAAAATCTGTGATAGTGAGCACTTCTCCTTTGCTGAGATAATCCATCCCACCTCACAGGTGTGGCATATCAAGATGCTGATTAGACAGCATGATGATTTGTGAACAATATTTGAGAGAAATGGTTATTTTGTGTATATAGAAAATGTTTTAGATCTTTGAGTTCATCTCATGAAAAATGGGAGCAAAAACAAAATTGTTGCATTTATATTTTTGTTCAGTGTATGTTATGACTCAGGTTACAGCTTTCTGTGATAACACTGTTTATATAAAGGCTTACACTGTAAATCCACTGTTATGAGGCTCTTAGCAAGATTATTACATTACATAGCAACAAGGTGTTATAAAACCAGTTCTTATTGGAATTGTATTACATTATGTAGTTCTAACAGGGCAAGTGCTTTTGCTATTGGTGGGATTTTCTAGCTTTTGAAACAAAGAATGCATGACCCTTCAACAGGGAGGAGAGAATGTGAGTGTCTAACAGTTGTCTAACATATTGTATATGTGCTAGACAACACAGAGCTGTGAAGATGTTGAAATAATAAGTGAGGCTGGCAGGATGCCATGTAGGGACCGCAGACCCTCAGAGGCCTGTCAGGAGCTCAGCAGCTGCATACTGAACCAGCTGAAGCGCTCAAAGTTAGACTCAAGTCGTGTTTTGCATAACTGCGACTGTGAAGTGACTCTTTCCCTGCTGCGTTTGTAGTCTCGTTTAGTCTCTGTAGTTTCTAGGTGAGATGAACTAGTTGTTTGTTGTAGAGTAAAACCCCTTAAGGACTTGTGTTTCCTCTAGTGTCGTGGGTAGAGGTAGGTCCACCTACAGAGCTGTTGAGGATCATCAGGCACTGGTCGAAGTGGTGGTGCTCCATGGTGGAGTGGCAGTACAGCTGGGCAAGAGGGTGCTCGCTCCTGGAAACACAGAGGAAGTGAGAAAGACTCCCACACATGCATATACTGTACAATCATACATTATTTATGTGACTCATCTCTCCTGCAGTACCTCTGTATGTAGGAGTTGTTTACTCCTCTGTGGTCCAGATCGTGGCTTAGAGTTGCAATCATCAAAGCCAAGACCTCCAAGTCATTCAGTTTATTCTGTCAGGGGGAAGACAAGAGCACGGACACACGATGGAGTTAGGATTCTGCATTCTCCTGTCTTACAAGGAGCAGTGGGAAGCTGCTGTACACACTCTCATGCCCCTTCTCCACCAAACAAAGTGAATACTTTCCAGCGGCCGCTGCCGTGAGTTAACGGTAGACTAAACTCTGCCGTGAGTTAACGGTAGACTAAACTCCGGTGGACGAGCAGCACTGCAGGGGTCGGTAAATGCCGCTGAACCACATTAATAAACAATGAACCACGGCACTCTGGAGAAAAGTATAACGTATCGTTGACGGAAGCACCAGCCAATCAAATCATACGCCAGTACAAGCGCTAGCCAATCAAACCGTGTGCTTGTGTGTCCGGGGCGGGAGATTAATGTGATTGGTTGTTGGTCGCGCGCCAGCCACGCCCACCGGCAAGCTTCAACGCAACGGAACTGTATGTACGATACGTAAAGGTTGAGGAGTAGTTATTTAGTTTAATCTGGCTCCGTATGATTAAAAGCAACAAGATCATCGACCCGACGCAGTCCCCCATTGTGGTTGTTGTGAGCGGCGTTGGGGAGAAAATCAGCGACGTAAACAGTGATGTAATGACGCAGCAGCGGCAGCACCAGTCGGGCTCTGAGCGGTGGAAACACAAGTGGTGCTACAGAGAAGAACCAGTTAAGCACCAGAAAAGCACAAGAACGGATCTTGAACCGGAACAGATGAACATCTGTTACTGCAATCAAACCAAACAGAAGCCTCATAGCTTTGAACACGTTGCAGTGTGGGCTCTCACTACACAGAGGACAGTTTCTGCATATGACAAACAGCTTTACAACAGAGCGCAACAAGATGGCATTCTGAAGAGAATAAATACAAAAATCAAGCATATCTGATATGTCCAGTCTGAAGCTACTCATAGTTGCTAATATTTTATGCAGAATTACTGTTTTTGTATTACAGAAACCACTAGTATTCACGGTTTTCCAAACTAATGGTTTTTCCAAACTAATGTATTCTTACATGAGATAATGTAATTTTATAAATATACTCAAAGTGTTGTTTCATTTCACAACAAATCATGTAAATTAAATATTACAGCCTCACTGACCAAAACAGAAAAGTTACTCTTGCATACTTCTGTAGATGTAAACAGGAATTGTGTTGCTTTTAGGGAAACCAGTTTGGATATAAGACTCTTATAGTAGATTTTTCAACAAGATATAAAAATGTTCCAAGCATAACTGATCAATTGTTAACAGCATTGGATTTTCTTTCATATTAGCATGTCCAGTTCTCCAGTTTCTAGCTGCTGTGGAAGGCAGACAATGAAATGTTTTGAGTGGCAGTAAAGCATGTTAGATTTGTAGATGATAACATAAGCATGCAAAAAAAGAGATTGCATTAAAGCATCTGTATAGAATTCAACTTTTTGGATTAGAGTAAAAGGCGGTGACCCAGATCAGCTGGTCCTGAGCAATGATTGGCTGACCTGTAGGCGTCCGGACTTCAGCAGGGTGAACATGGTCTGGGCCGTGTTGAAGGCGTGTCTCCAGTTGTGATAGGCCACATTCTTCCTGTAGTTCTTCTTCACACTCAGAATCCAATGGCATAAACTCTAAAATTGGGAGAAAGAGGAGAAAGACATTTATCAAACCCTAATGAATATTTTTTCCAGAGCTGAAGGTACAACGTTTAAGCACAATATTTAAATAATAAATGCCTAAATGCCTAAATTCCATCTGGACTCCGATCAACATAGGGAAGATACATCATCACATTTTCACCCTGTAGAGTTCCTCTTCGTTGTCTGTATTACAGCGCTAGAGAACAATTATATTAAAGGTCTACTACAATACGTTTATATGCTAACGACATCATACTCTAGATAAAAAACCCACACACACATTCAACAAAAACATGAACCCATCCAAAATATTCTCCAAAATAAGAAACTCAACCAACCAGACCTATTGTTTTGAGCTGTGAGACCCACTGTGTATCTGAAGCAGGGGGGGGGGGGTACCCTGACATAAGGGCTAACCATACATAATTATTCATATCTGTATATGTCTAAATCAAAATGTGTTGTTTTTCTATGCTGTCACTTTTGAAGTGATTTTTTATTTGTTATTCCAATTATCCTTGTTTGAACTCCTACCTGTCCCATCTTAGTCCCACTCAACACCTGAACTCCCCTCAGGGTGATTACAGCATTATCTCCTCTAAAAGGAAAACACAGACTACCTTATGAGAGGGTTGCAACAGAGAACAAAGTAAAATAACCTGTGATAAGCAAAGTGGCTTGACTGTCCAAATATTATTTGAAATTGAATACTTTGCACCTTGCCAGCAAAACGATGTCTAAAAAGTAAACGCTTTTTAATTTTAAACTTAACTCAAAGTAAAAAAGTCACGTTTACTCTTCCGGAACCGTTATCTCACATATTTATTTATTTATTATTACAATAAGCAGTATGCTGTATATTTAACTTCTCCTGCATTACCTCTACATTAGTCTTCCGACATTCTCATGCACCATTTTATTTCTATACTGTTATTTCTTGCACATTTTGTATTAGTTGTATTGTTTTATGTCTTATATATATTTACGTATGTTGCATTGTTGGAGGAGCCTGGGAATTTTCATTGCCATGACTACACAGTGGCTGCTGTACCTGTGATGAGAGAACCTTTAAATAGGATCTGAATTATACTTTGATGTCACATTATAATTGAGAATAATAGCATGTTGTGTAGTGTACCCCCAGGCAGGCTGCTGCAGAATGACAGCTCTCCTGCCTGAGGGCCCAATCAGCTCCAATCAAAGACCCTCTGTTCTGGCCCCTCGGCTGCACCGCGGAGGTAAACCACCAGCACACAGGGACCGCTTCAGGAGGGGAGTGTGTTGAGGACGCCAGCCAAACCTGCCAGAAGTCCGGTGCCGGGGGTGGGGGGGGAGTGGTTACTGACAGACACCAGAGTGTGTGAGGGATTCTTGTTGGGGAAGTGTTTTTGGTGTATGACATTGCTCTGTCCATGTGTGTGTGGTTTCTGAATTAAGGATGCACAAATATTAACTCACTTGTAAATGCATTCACTCATCGGACACACACACACACACACACACACACACACACACACACACACACACACACACACACACACACACACACACACACACACACACACACACACACACACACACTTCATGCTCAAATGCTGCTGATAATGACCAAAAGATTGTTTTCTGCAATTACTGAAACCAGGAGGCTTCTCATGTCTCTTTCTTAGACATTTATTGAAAACAACCAACAATTGTCAGCAGAATGTGATGGTTAGTATGATGGTTGCCATGATACCTTCATAATTCAGGCTTTGACTCTCTATTGATGTCTGGAAATATTACCTGTATGTACCATGTAGCAATAGCTATCATTTTAATAATTGAACAACCACCTGTCTCATTTTACTTAGGATGTATGTATGATGTATGTCAGGATTCCAGAGGCCTCTACCAAATAACTAGTGTGTTATCCAGCTCTGGTGAGATAAACAGATGGACAGAAACAATATAAAGCATTTTTAGGTCAAATGTACTTTAATTCTTACTGTGTACTTCATCTGGAAGTTTTGGACCAGATTGAGGTCGACAAACATCCGGATCGTAGCCATGGTGGTTTCTGTGTCCGACAAATCAAAGTCACTGAAGCTGAAGTCCATGAGACGCAACGACTGGGCGGACGGCACTGTGGCTACCTGAAAACACACACACACACACACACACACACACACACACACACACACACACACACACACACACACACACACACACACACTGATACATATAGATAGAGAGATAGAAACTGTATTTACCCCAAATTGGGAAATTGTTTTGTTCCAGCAGCAGTGTCAATCATTACACAAACTATGTCAGGGAACTCAGTTGCGTAACAATAAACGGCAGGAGTATCATGCATCTGCACCCCGGATATTAAAAGTGCTGCTGCAGGTACAGTAGTAGCTTTAGTTACGAGGGTTTTCCTCATATGATGTGTAACACAGACTGCATGCAGCAGTCTCATGAGTAGAACCCGTGTCCTAGATACCAAGTGACGCATACTCCCTTTAGCACCCAAGAGGAGCCACTTAATCAGGTTATGCTGTGAGTTCAGCCACCTCACCACCAGGAGAAGAGAACAGACGCTCGTACTGTACGCCTCCACGCTCAGGCTGTGGAAGCTGGACTAAACTGATTTATTTTATAATCTCACAGCGCCTTGAAAAGCTGTTATAAAACCAGTTATGTACTTAAAAGTGAGCTAATCATGAAAATCACAAGAAAGACGGAATTTAACAGTATATCAAATTTTGAGTTCATAAAGAAATAAATTAAGATTAAGAAGTTCAACAACAATAAAAATACAGTAATTTGAAAGGATGTGTCCATTTGTAAAATGGGTGTAATATGGGTCTAATAACAGTGTAATATAGGTGAAATAACAGTGTAACATGGGTATATTAGGGGTGTAATAACAGTGTAATAATAGTGTAAACTCAGTGTTACATTGGTGTAATGTGTGTCTAATAACAGTGTTATGTGGATATAAAAATAATATTACATGGGTATAGTTAGGCTTTAATATGGGTGTAATTATGTTATAATAGGGTTTAATAGGGGTGTATCAATGTGTAATATGGGTGTAATAACAGTGTAATATGGGTGTTCATCCTTCAGATGAGAAGCATGTAACACAACCCCACAGCGCTCACTCAGTATTAAACGGCTGCTTCATCACAGCACGATACAGGAGGCATGATTGGCTACCAAAGCTAGAATGTGGATACATTAAACACATTACATCTCACACTGATGTTTTAAAGTTCATCTGGAGTGTTTTGTCAACGTAATAAAATGTTAATTTACCGCGGTTACCTGGAGTTCCCGCGTCTCTTCCTCTGCGGCAGAGGCGTGATATGACAACACCTGAAACACACACACATGGAAAAAGTATATATCAACTTCTCTGTAGAAAACACCATATAACACGGCATATACAACCAACTCCTGACCTGCATCTACATTTGGTTTGGCTTTGTGGGGTCAATCAGTATCTAATCATCTGATGTAGCATCAACATGTTTTGGAATTTGCCCAATAGAGAGAGGGTTAACGGGTGCCTTGCTGTATGGGGCTTGGCCAATCAAAGACAAAAATAACTACAAGGAGCCGCCCCCCACTCTCAGCATTAGGTACTGGCAGCGTGGTTTTAGGGACGTGGAATGCATTATTAGGGAGCGCTGGGGAACACCGGTCCGAAACCCACCCTGATCGCAACTGCAGTCGACAATTTATTTTGTATTCACTGTTACAGGCGAAAAAGAAAAGTGCTAAAATAAATGATATTAATTATACCAACTAGATATAATTGGGCTTTACTCGCAAGTGTGGGATCACTAACAGCCCCCCGCTGAACGCTGCTGTGTTGGGGGGTCTCCATGGGGAAGAGGGTCGCCTCTAAACTACACTAATACATCTCAAACTGTTCTTTATTCGTATGCACTGAACAGCAGGGCAGAGTACCCAACCATCTGAGAGTCTGAGTGTGGGAGTTTTGTAGTGGGTGCAGCGGCTAAATAATAAGAAATAAAACTAAAAATGTAGGGGGATTATCCAATGTCCAGTCAAGAACGTTGTTTTGTGCATTGATCCCCACCAATACCTGTGTCCAACATATACAAGATCACCAGGTTCCCAAACCACCCAGTGCACAGAACCAGCATCAAAATCAAAGCATATACTTGAATTAACTACAAATAATTACAATAAATAATGATTAATTTAACGTAAATAAACAGCAAGAAAATACATATTTAATTGCTAAATAACCCTAATAAATGTATAGCTCCAACAGGGGTGCTATGCACCATCCTGTCTGTATAGACCCACAGTTTGTCTGTATTCTACACTCATGTCACGCTTGTGATGGATGTCAATGTAAGATATGATATTTGTGAACAGGACCTCAGGATGGAGAGGTATAGGGACCTTTGCACTGAGCCGTGGTGTAAAGTAACATCTACTCAAGTACTGTACCTAAGCTGCATGATTATCTACATTTTTTGCTACTTTGTACTTCTACCCCACTACAATTCAGATGTAAATTGTGTACTTCTACTCCACTACATGTATTTAATACCTTTAGTTACTTTACAGATGTGGATGAATGATGTGAAATATAATCAAGTGTTGAATCAGACTTTAGTTCCA